CTAATTACCCTATCCAGCCTAGTTAACCTAATTAACCTAATTAAGCTTTTAAATGTTACTTTAAGCTGTATAGTCAAATATTATTTACTGTTATGATGGTAAAGATAAAATAAATTAGTTGTTAGAAATGAGTTATTAAAACTATCATGTTTAGAAATGTGTTGAAAAAATCTCTCCGTTAAACAGAAATTTGGGGGAAAACAAAACAGGGGCTAATAATTCTTGACTTCAATTACTTCAAATTTATATGATGACGTAATGATGATATGAGACTGCTTTTATAGTGTTGCCCAATAGTGTGTGTACCGCAAATAATCAGTTTTTTCTCTGATTTACAATGAATAGTTGCAGTATGTGTTTGAGTAAAACTTTTTATATTTATTTTGTAAATAAATAAGGACTTTTCTTCATGGTTTATAATAAACAAGCAGTTGTTTAGAGATTTGTTTGCTTTCTTTGTGTGTGTAAATGCTTGTATCTTATGTATATGCACAAAGTATGCAAAAGTAAAACATGCATAACACATACAATGTATTATGTACATGACGTAATACAAACATAATAAGATTGTGTTATATCAGTTATTGGGGCAATTCATAAATAATGTAGAAAACCTAAGAAAATCAACAAGTGTTTAATAGATACTAATGTGCACTGTGTGGAATGATTTGACTAAGGCAATTAAAAATATTAACATTCTGTACCAAGGCAGTGTAAATATTATGTCTCTGGATATTGTGTGCTGGAGGCAGATGCTGAACAGAGCAAATATTATGAGGATGTGAGAAGCTGTTATGAGCTAATAATGACAGTGATTGTACCAGTAATGCTAATGGCTTTGTACACTAGGCATTATCCTGACTACAGTTGGTATTGTTAGCATGTTATTGAGTTTGATTCTTATAGATTCCCAATTTCGATTCCATTGCAGTAAAGAAATAATAATATTTTGGTGATTTAGGCTCTGTTAACATGCTATTCAGGTGTGTTTTTGTTGATAGACAAAAGAGGGACATAACTGAAGCAATATTTAGAATTTATAAGAAAAGCCAAATCATATTTAAAGTTTGGGATCAATTAAACACGCTTTATGAATAGGCTAATTTATGCATTAACAAATTAAATTATAGATGATTGATTTATTGTCCATTAGACCTACACACTTCTGTATACATGCTTTTGTTGTATAAATCAAAAGTAATTAAATTCAGTAGCTTTTAGAAATATTATACAAAGGATCAGGAATTGTTGCGCAAAAACAACAACAAAAGCAATCAATAAAGTAATTTTAGCATGTCAAAATCATATTTATGCATATAAATATATTTTCCCAACAACAAATTTGTGGCTAGTGAAAATGGCGAATGCCTAATGTTGGAAATCTACTAGACAATCTACTATACTTTTTTGGTGATCAAAAAAAATAATAAATAAATAAATAAAATTCTAATATTTCTGACTTCAACTGTACCTTTAACACAATAATTACACTTAGCTTTGCCATTGTTTTTTACCAAATGTAGCCACACTTTTAAACACTTCCCGCGGTCGATCTCTAAACTAGGTCCAAGCCATCCCCATTAGGTGATAGCATTACAGATGGCTTTGGATTATGTCCTAATTTAACAGTTTTTGGTGGCATTTTGTCTCTTAAGTTCTTTTTAAGTAAATATCAAACATTTAAATACATTCTGGATCTTTTCCTGGTTTTTTCGTTGATATTTAGCAGCGAGCTCCATTCATGCCACGTTTCAGCTGCACGTCATAACCAGAAGTCCGATAATAAAAATTCCATCTTTAAACTAAAGTTTGGATTATTATTCAAAGTGCTTGTAAGTGTGAAAGTTTCTAGTCAATTGTCAAGTGAAAAAAATAGATTTTATAACAAGTATCCGATTCCAGAATCATAGTTAATTTTCAATTTCCAACCCTAATCCTGACTCATGTGGAACAAATATATTGCAGTGTAGTATAAAGCTTGATTTATACTTTCGCCTAGCGCCGCATCGCGCACCTCCGCTGAGTGTGTGCGCACCCCGAGGCTTTTATACTTGACACGTTCGCCATTGTAATATTCTTTAAAACAACAGGGGGCGATTACCTCACCATAAACTCTGACGGATAAACCGAGAAGTAAACCTTTCCAGAACTACGTCATATCATTAATATTATTGAAGATTTTTTAACTATTCATTTGTATTATTGTTACAAAATATTTTAATGATTATAAAGATGAGGCAGTGGCGCAGTAGATAGTGCTATCGCCTCACAGCAAGAAGGTCACTGGGTCGCTGGTTCGAACCTCGGCTCAGTTGGTGTTTCTGTGTGGAGTTTGCATGTTCTCCCTGCCTTCGCGTGGGTTTCCTCCGGGTGCTCCGGTTTCCCCCACAGTCCAAAGACATGCGGTACAGGTGAATTGGGTAGGCTAAATTGTCCGTAGTGTATGAGTGTATGAGTATGTGTGTGAATGTGTGTGTGGATGTTTCCCAGAGATGGGTTGCGGCTGGAAGGGCATCCGCTACGTAAAAACTTGCTGGAAAAGTTGGCGGTTCATTCCGCTGTGGCAACCCCGGATTAATAAAGGGACTAAGCCGACAAGAAAATGAATGAATGAATGATTCTAAAGATTTTTATAACCATTCGATTTTTTTTTAAATCAAACGTTGATGCATCACATGCTTTTGTTCAGATCCTGGAAAATTCTATCTATTATAGTACAACTGACAAGAGAACATGGGTTGCTCTACTGTACAAATATAGTTTTTATTAGGGCAAGAATATACTGACGTTTTTTTTTTTTTTTTTTTTTTTAGCCCACTCCACAATCAGTCCACAATTCACTAGCTTCTATCCTTTATTTATATGCTAAAAAGGCAATAATAGTCCAACATTCCTGACACCATTATCATCATCAAAGTCTAGAAAAACAGGTCATCAGTATATTGTAAACCAATAGGTTCAAATATTCATTTCCAGTTATCAAAGAAATAATTTGTTCCTTCATTTTAGTGTTGTAACTATTAAATTGTTTTAAATTCAAAATTAAGCATATAAATCAGTGTAAAACCTATGACTGGTGGAAAAACATATTCTGTTATTGTGTTTTAACACCACCTGGGTCTCCATGTTTGCCATGGCCTCTATTTTTGGCTTTAACAAACGTTTACAAACACTTTCCTCCTTTCCCACTGTTGTAATTTCTAGCCAAGAATTATTGGCCATCTGATTATCCCTATGATCACACATGGACGGATCATAAAGATTTCTGTACAGTCCTACCTGTTTCAGACAAAAATCGCTTCAAAGTGTTTCATATTTAATTAAAATCAAACGCAGCGCCGCACGCACTGTTCGATTAAAAAAAAGTGCGCTCCACCAGCCAGAATCATGTCGCGCACACCCAAAATGAACCTCTTCAAACACAGCGATGATGTCACATTCGCCGCATGCATTCAACATAAGATTTATAGTCAAATTTGTTTTTAAAGACGTCGTGAAGTGTTTTGAAATGTGAACTTTTCATTCAAAATTTGACGTAATCTCACCTGAAAGACATCTCAGGCATAATTTAGCTCCTCCTTTTCTAAAAAAAAAACAGCCAATAGCATTTTGTTTTTATAACAGCTCTATCAAGCGCATCAAATGAAAAGCAAATGAGAAGCGCCATGAAGGGTGCGGGACAAGCCAGATTCTGTAGAACAGGGGTGTTCAACCTTCCTGCAGATTTCAGTTGCAACCCATATCAAACACACCTGTCTGTAATTATCAAGGGCTTTTCAGGTCCTAATGAATTGGTTCATGTGTGTTTGATTAGGGTTGGAGCTGAGCTCTGTAGGAAGGTAGATCTCCAGGAACAAGGTTGAGCACTCCTGCTGTAGATCATTAGATTGGTCAGATGATTAAATGAGAAGCTGAAATACAAGGGGATGTAAAAAAAAAAAAAAAAAAAAAATCAAAGATAAAATAAATCAGTTACACTATAAAAAATAATTCCGTAAAATAAATCCGTGAAAATGGCAGCTGTGGTTGCCAGTACTTTTCCGTTAAAAACACGGTACAAACCGTAAAAGTAATTTTTCATTTTTTACGGTAAACTACCGTACTTTATTAATTTATAGAGGTAATATGTCTGCATTTTGAATGATCAACATTTACACATCTTTTGTTACACAGTTAGACACGTTAGCACACCCACATGCTGAGGTGATGAGGAAGTTACATAATTAGCCAATGCTCATCACAATCAACTTTTCCCACAAGCAGAAAAGAGTATCAGCATGTAGACGGTGCTCAGTGTCATTCACACAGCTACTAAACACCTGATGGTAACACGCATAAAATTGAAGTCATGAAATAAACCTTGTTTATCAACATTAGATGTAACATAAATCAAATGTACATAACTGATGGGGAAACAACTAAAAAGATCCATAATAATGTCAACCAAATGCATAAAAAGTTATGTGCCATGCAGGGAATTCTGGGAAAATCAATTTACGGTTATTCGCCGTATATATTAAGGAAACATACCGTTAACCAGGTTACAGATTTGTACAGTAACATTTATACAGTTTTTTACCGTTGAAATCACGATATCAGAACAATCTGACATTGAGATATTTTGATGCTCTGTTATAAATAAAGTTAAAATTATTAGCGCTAATAAATTATTAGCTAATATATTACAAATTAGTTATTAAACCTATTATGTTTAGAAATGTGTTGAAAAAAAACTTCTTTTCATTAAACAGAAATTGGGGGAAAATATATGAAAGCTAATAATTTATTAGCGCTAATGATTTTGACTTTATTTATAACAGAGCATAAAAATATCTCAATGTCAGATTGTTCTGATATCGTGCAGCCCTAGTGTACTATATGCCGCTAAAGTGTGACTGTTCAACAGATTTTGGTATCAGTGTTTCTTTAAATACATTTTGCAATGTTGGAATATTACATTTAGTTCATTGATTGATAGTGACCTGTTCCTTGTGTTGCAGTGCTTACTTCAGCTCAGGATGAGTAAAGAAATGGAGGAGCTTTCTCCCCTGGACGATTCGGGACACGGTGATGGGTCTGAGGAGGAAACAGAGGAGGATGACGAACCTAAAATTTGCCAAGTATGCGGCGACAAATCTACTGGCTATCACTTTAATGCCATGACCTGTGAGGGCTGCAAAGGCTTTTTCAGGTGAGTCAGCCTACACCTCATGAAAGGAGAAATTGGCCACGATGCCTTTCCAAGCCCGTACTAATAAAATCTCACATTTTCATTAAGAAGTTGCTAGTGTGGTAATAAATTACATTAAATATAGAATGTTGAAAATGTCTATTAAGCTTTAAAAACATATTTGACTGAATGTCTATTTCTTCTTTGTAGGGGTACAAAAATAGAATTGGGATTGGGTCTAAATATCTTCTTAATATTTAGACCCAATCCCAATTCTATTTTTGTACCCCTACTCTTTCCCCTTGGCCCTTAAAACCAAGTGTGATGGGGTAGGGCTTCAAAATTTACCCCTAAGAATTGGAACACCATTACAGCACCTTCACACGTTATCATATATCATCGCAATCTCTATGATTCATATGAGATCAGACGATCGTGACTGCTGTAGTTAATCCAGTTGCGTTATTTTTTGGTTTTTATCTTCAATAAATCCCTGAAGGCATTTATCATGTTATCATAGCGATCTAATGTGGCAATAAGCTCTAACTATACTGCGCATTTACACAGTGGCCATATTCCTCTTTGTAAACACACCAAAACAACATTAACATTATAGCAGACACTGTAAAAAGCACATTCCCAGCCACTAGACTTTTCTGACAGGGTATTTGAGTGTCATTGAGTGTCAGAATGCGGTGGGACTGCTGTACAGAAGTTATTATTATGGATTATAGATCGCAAAATTTAGCGGTTTTGATTTTAGTGTTTTTTTATTAATGCATGATGGTAAAACATGAACGCGTTTATGAATATAATAAAACATGTGCTTGTTTGTTGTAAAAATTTGTAATAATGACAAAAAATAAAAATAAAAAATACTAATTTGTGGATCTGCTTCCAGGTTTAGCAATACTGCCGTTGTGGCTGGTGTATTCTGGGAAATTTTCTTACCCCTTGGTTTTGAGTGTGGTCCTGAAAAATCTTTATTCGAAGGGCTATTCACCTCTTCCCCTTGGCTCTATGCCTTCAAGCTAAAGAGAATTGGGACACCCCTACCCCTTGACGTGAACGCGCAAAACAAGGCGTAGGGGTAAAGGAAAGGGCTAAGGGGTGGAATTGGGATCGGCCCTTAGCAAAACGTCCAATCCGCTGTTTTTCTGAAATTGTTTTCTATATTTACTACGCTCAAAAAACGTCATTTGCTGTTTGTTCGAACTCCTTATTTAAAATGAGCTGCGACAACACAATTCTTGTGTATTTTTAGGACAATTTAATTGTTTTATGTTGAATGGACTTTGTGAAAAGTAATTAGTTTAATTATTTCCCTCATGTTGTCTCAAAACAAATTGATTGTGTGGATCCCAGCATTTCTTACAGTGTAGGGCTGTCAATTGATTAAATTTGTTGCGATTAATTGCATGATTGCCATGAGTTCATATGAATTTAATACTGCATAACAACAGCGTCAGGCACTCGTGCACAATAAAATAGTGAAACAGAACATAGTTTTATGGGGGTGCACTGAAATAAAAATTGTTGGCCAAAGCATAATAAAGCATTTGACAAGACTGAACACCAAACACGTTTTTTCTGGGGTTTTCCCTTTATATATTTTGCTAATTTTTATTTTATTTTTGGCCATAAATTAAACTATAAAAATGTGTTTTCACAATTTTATCTTGGCCCTCAATGAAAAGTTATCCTACTACTATACCTACAAGTGAGCAAACATGAAGAACAAAAATCATTTTATGTATGTAACTTAATATTTAGTAAAATGCTCTTGGGCATTTAATGTTTTTTTTTTTTTTCTGAGGGAAAGGCTTCTAGCTTTTTTGAGGAAAAAAATACTTTGTGACATTTATTTACACTGTCTAGCTACTAACACGCAGAAGATGTGATTAAATGAAACATGATGCATTTAAACACGACAAACTGTTTCTTTCATCAATAGTCAATCTTATTGTTCACAAAGCACCTTTTGTCATAGGACACTAGAGATGGTTAAAACTACATTTTCAATGGACAAAAATAAAAAGCTGAGACATCTTTGGATGCCAGATTCATTACAAGTAATTCTTAGTGACATTCTCTATATGAACAGGAAAGAAATAATTTAGACCCCATATATTAGTTAACAACGAGCCTTTGGTGGTGAGAAGAATTTTCTGCGTCAGCTGTATGCTTAGCCATTAGGCACACACACACACACACACACACACACACACACACACACACACACACACACACACACACACACACACACACACACACACACACACACACACACACACACACACACACACACACACACACACACACACACGAAGTATTAAAGATAGTTAGTTGAAGTATAAGATTTTTTTTCAACACATTTCTAAACATAATATTTTTTTTAACTCATTTCTAATAACTGATTTATTTTATCTTTGCCATGATGATAATAAATATTAATTGACTAGATATTTTTCAAGACACTTCTGTACAGCTTAATATGACATTTAAAGGCTTAACTAGATTAATTAGGTTAACTAGGCAGGTTAGGGTAATTAGGCAAGTTATTGTATAATGATAGTTTGTTTGTTCTGTGGACTATCGGGTATAAAAATAAGCTTAAAGGGGCTAATAATATTGACCTTAAAAGGGTGTTTTAAAATTAATAACTGATTTTATTCTTGCTGAAAAAAAAAAAAATAAGACTTTCTCCAGAAGAAAAAATATTATCAGACAAACTGAGAAAAATTCCACGCTCTGTTAAAATATAAATAGCCTTATAGTCTTAAAATGTGAGCAAAATCAGCTGTTTTGTCTTCACTTTAGACATTACGCAAGAGAATCATTCAAATACTAGCTCTAAAGTTACGTTGGTGAATGGGAAATATTTTAAAAACTAAAAAAATGTAAAAGGGGGCAAATAATTCTGCCTTCTAGCCTCAGCCAGGAAAGAAAGAGTAACAGGAACGCAAACTGATGCATTACCATAAAAAGTAACACAACTAGTTACTTTTTTGGAGAGTAACTCAATATTCTACGTTTAAAAGTAACTTTTCCCAATAATGCAGATTAGTCTTTTCTTGTTGACAGAACTTGTCGTTCAGAAATTCTTTATCTTTCGTTTGTACCCTTTTCATTCTCCATCACTTCCTATTGGTGCTGCATCCTTTACTGGCTGCATATTTTTCAACAATGGGCAAAACTATGGGTCAGACAGAAAACATATAATTTGGCTGTTAAAATAAATTCACATACACATTTACATACACACCATTTACTGACACCATGAAATCAGTAAAAGTTTAGCAACAAATTCACCTAAAGATGAATATCTGCTTTTGCCAAGTCAAAGAAGTTTTAAAGGTGACTTGAGGAATTAGCAAATGACATTTTTGGGTGAATTAGCCATTCAATTAAACTAATGCAGAATTAAATTTGACATTAACGATATTTTATTTTTGTTGTGTCAAAGGCATTTTATAATCAGCCTTGGCTCGCTTACTGAGCTGGAAATGTGAAGCATGACCTTCAGGGTCCACAAGAGCTTATAAATCGTCATTTAGTCTTTGAATGTTATGATTAGCATCACATTATTGAAAGGAACATTTGAAAAGAGAAAGTAATTATAGGGTACATGGCACAGCTGAATTTGTGACAAACCCATTACAACACACTGTGTGTGCACACATGCAGCCATGCAGTAATTGTGTGTTTTCCATGGAACTATCACCATATTTAAAACATTAGCATTATTGTGGTTTAGAATAAATGTACCAAAGATTTTCACCAGCAATTGTTAATAATGACAGCAATGTATGTCAGTAATACCAGTACATTTTAGCTCATGAATCACAAGAATGAAGTATTTTGAAAGTGTGAAAATGTTTAGGGGTAGTGGACAGGCATGAGGCCAGAACCGGTCTCAAGGTTTACTGTGGCTTGGAAAAATTTATTTTTTTACAGTTACATGCAAGTATACACTCGTCGGCCTCTTTATTTAGTATCCTGTCCAACTGCTTGTTAACACAAAATAAAACAAATAAGACTTTATCCAGAAAAAAATAAATAAATCAGGCATACTGTGAAAATGTACTTGCTTGCTTAAACACCATGTAGGAAAGATTTAAAATAGAAAATAAAAATTCAAAGGGGGGCTAATAATTCTGACTTCAACTGCACATTTAATCATTCCCATATTCTTGCCTATTTTGGGGATTCCTCTTGATATGTTTTCTATTCTATTTTATTCTAGTGTACAGGATTAATATGAGAATAATATGCCTGCAGTCCTGTTCTCATATTTGCTTTCTGACGTAGTTACGAGGAAATTCAAATGTGAAGTGTTTGAGTCTTTTTTGGGCAATAATGTAGTTGTTCAGATTGGAACTATGCAGTTTATTTATAAGGATTGTGCCTATTTTAAATATTCATAATTTTAGAGATTCAGCTCGTTGGTGGCTGGCCTGGCCTACTGAGCAGAGCAAAAACGCTGACGTTGCGCCACAACATGGCGACAAAGACGCATAAGTCCTTAGGGGAGAAAAACAGCATTTTTTCAGCTTACATTTCAAACTACAGCTGATCAAATCATTATAAAACAGGTACAGTAGATGACATTCTAAGCCTATCTCTCTTTTGTATGTTGTGGTGCTGTATTTATACCATAGTAATGTGCTAGTGTTTGCTTTGCTTTGGCTTTATTTGGGTTATTATTGTAATTTCAAGATTGCAAAAGAGAAATACTGGAAAATCTCTGTAGACTGATGGTATTTCATGCCATTTAGCCTTATAGTCTTAAAATGTGAGCAAAATCAGCTGTTTTGTCTTAACTTTAGACATTACGCAAGGGAATCATTCAAATACTAGCTCTAAAGTGACGTTGGTGAATGAGCAATCATTTTTGCTGTTCTCACATCAGCTGCAGATGTGAATGAGTGGTGGAAAAAAGTAGTTCCTCATACAAAAGGATTCTTAGACACTGATTTTCTTTTTTATATGCAGGATTATGTCGTCGAACTGTTGTATAAACACAATATCACACTCGTAGCAGTGCAATATGGCTGTATATCATACACGTGTATGTGTGTGTGTGTACATATATATATATATATATATATATATATATATAGACACACACACACACACAAATATTAGTGCTGTCAAAATTAGTGCGTTAACTCATGCAATTAATTTGAAAAATTTAACAAGTTAAAAAAAAATTTATGCAGTTGCAGTTTTTTTTAATTTCCTGTTGTGGTTGACGTGTGTTCAACATGCAAAGAAATGTCGCATTACCAGGCTCTCCAGCGTTTCATCCAGTGTTTCATCTAATTTCATAAGTTTAATTTTTAATCTTTCGACTATTGTTTAAATGGAATTTGATATCGTATTGCGAACGGAAAGAAAAACCTCTGCATTTCGTGACTCGGTGGTCCTTCAAGGTAATGAAAAACCGCCGCTTACATGGTAGGTAAGAATATTATCTTAATCATATTAAAATCAGAGTATTGGTGTCCATGTAAATGTACTCAGATCGCGAGCTGACAAAGACATCGCATTCCTCTGCCTTTCAGCATGCGCCCTCTAATGTTTCATTAAGTTTGACGTGTTTTCCCCTTAAACACAACTTTTATTAAGCGTATGGTTTATGTTGTTGTGTTACAATCCTTCTGAAATACAGCCGTACTTTAGAACGCTTAGTTTAAGCAAATTTGACGCGATCATGCATGTTGGATCTGAACGGAGTCGCTCCGGCTGCGCTGCGCTGTCCTGTGCGTTGTGTTTGTGTGTTTCTGTCTGTGTGCACGCGATTTGGTGACACAACACGTACCTGTGTGTGCCTTTGATGTACCGCTTGATGCTTCTTACGTCCTTGTTGCAGCACAAGTGTCCACAAAATTAGGCACCGAAATGCATATCTCTGTTCTCACTCTCAGCTCACATCATTCGAAACAAAAGAGCCACATTGTCCCCCGATAATGTCAACAGACTGGACTGTCTTAGCAACTGGCTGAATGTAAAGGAGGACTAAGCAAAATTGCTTCTGCTTTATAATTAATGTTCTCAACTCACAGCAATACAACATTTCAATAAGTACAATTGATTGTAATCAATACTTTATGAATATTATAATTTTCCATATCTGCAATGTCTGTATTTTGGCTTTTTTTTTTTTTTTTGCAGTCCACTTAGAATCCAACATGGAAATATATTTCTTTCTTTATTGGCATTAATTGTTTTGAAAATTGTTTAGAAAACAAGCACAATAAAAAAAAAAGATAGACGGCAATCTTTGTGTTTCTGGTTATAAAAAAAAGCCTTGAACTGATCCAGAGAAGTTCCAGAAAATCAATTCCACAGAACAAATATTGCTCTTGAAAGCACATTAAATTAAATGTCTGACGGTAGACAGCCATGCTCCTATATATGTGCTCTTTTACTTCTACAGTCTTGCAAGGGTGAGATTGACTCATATGACCATGGGCTCTATTTTGACGGTCCATGTGCAAAACAGAAAGCACAGGGCGCAAACGCATTCAGGGCATGTCAGAATCCATATTTGCTAATTTAAGGACAGGAAAATCCGCTTTGCGCCGTGACGTATGGTCTAAAAGGATTGAGTTTATTTTCTTAATGAGTTATAGGTGTGTTTTGAGAATAAACCAATCAGAGTCTCATCTCCCATTCCCTTTAAGAGCCAGCTGCGTCACGCCATAAGCGCATTCGCCATTTACAGGACGTAAAGTGTAAGTGGAAAAACTGAGCATTTCACAAACAAACAGTTATCAGTTTTTTTTAACAGAAAACAGTTAAACAGAACATCTACTGTGCAAGAATGAGAGATAAATGATCTACTTTCGCTCTGGTGGATAGGGAAACCTTTACGCACAGACATCAATTAGCCTATAAATAATTAATTTAGTTTAAGCGCAAATATTTGTTTTTAAAACTATTTCTAAATTTAGTTCTAATTTCCAGCAAACGAATAAATGAACAATAATAACAAAGTGTTCAAAAACCAGTGTTATATCTTAATACACTTGCTGTGCCCCATATGGTCTAAAACCTGCAGGTGGGCAAATCTAAGCTTGTTTTTGATAAAAAAAATGGATATTATAAATAATACTGATAATTATATTAACATTATACAAAAGCAAATTGTTATGAATGAACTGAATAGTAATAGTTTAATCCTTTATATTTATATCCTATATATATTCTTATTATATCGTATATATATATCCTTAATATTTTAAATTTTTCATATGTAAAGATATTTGCGTATTGCTTCACATCTTGTGTGTAGGCTATTAAACAGTGTGTAAGTGGGGCGCAACTCTTCCTCTTCCGTCTTCCTTTTTAGACCAGAACGCCTATGTCGCACATGAGCACAAATGCATTTGCTATTTAAACAACGTGGTGCAAAACAGCAAAACGACTCTTGCGTCAAGCTGAAACTAGCAAATAACATTTGCGCCACATTGCGCCGGGTGTATGATAGGGCCCCATGTGTTTATTTGTTTGTTTGTGTGTGTCTGGGCAGACGTGCGATGAAGCGACCGGCCCAGCTCTGCTGCCCATTTCAGAGCGCCTGTGTCATCACCAAGAGCAACAGAAGACAGTGCCAATCCTGCCGGCTTCAGAAGTGCCTCTCAATAGGCATGAAGAGAGAGCGTGAGTTTAATTGAGCTTTACTTTTCATGTTCCTTACCCTGCCTTTGCTATTTAATTTTCAGAAACAACCTCAGATTAAAGCAGTAAGCCAAGAGTGTGTCATATCCTGTTAGAGAACGCTAATGCTACATTTGTGCTAGATAGGAGATCCAACATGCAATACTAATATAAAAGTGTTCATTTAATGGCTATTATTAGTTATGTATAAACCTGCAGATATAGCTTCAGTATTGGCCTAACCTCAGTAAATTAATTTAAATCCAGCAAACACACATGAAACATCCCCTCGATGTTCATTTTTGGTTCCCATTTGTTTGGTTTGGTTATTTTTTTAAGATCCAAGAAAAACTATGTGGAAAAATTAGGACACCCTATTGAAGCCTGGGTATTTTGTAAGGTTTTTTAATTAATTTAATCTTTATTTGAACGATACAGAAAGGTTAGGGTAATACAATTAAAACTGAAGAAAAGTCTTTTCAATATCTTCTCTAAACGTAATTCTACAAAAACAGCATATTCTAACTGAGGATAAAGGACACCCTCACTCTCAGGCTTTCAAAGGGTGTCCTAATTTTTTCACATGCCTGTATACTGTAGGGAAACATTTATTTTATTTATTCATTTATTGATTTTATTGTTCAATTTATTTAATAATTTTATTTATTTGCAACCACAAAATAATATTTACTCATAGTTATTTGTAAGTTCTAATTTTGCAACCATGCAACAAGATCTGCAGAATGTTAAAAATACATAAGTAAATAAATAAATAAATACATACATACATAAATAAATACATAAATAAAAAAAACTAACAATAATCACTTTTAAATAATCACAGGTTTCCTCTTTAACTATAAAATAACTTTCTTAGAACATTGCAGCGTAGTTATTGATAATAAAATAATATAATCTATACTGTTGCTATTTTGTAAAACTAGCTCCAGAACTTTCAATTGCATATGAAACTGTGACAGCATATGCTTGGATATCACATCATTATTAGGAAACCTTAAGAATACGAAAAAAAAAAAGAAAAGAAAACAAGCACGCACCTTCACCTTTATGCTGTCAATTATAAAGTCAAGTATTTGTCAATAAATTGTATAACTGGAATTGGTTGGAAACGCATCCAGGTACAGTGTCATATTCGTTCAATTATTCAGGAGCAGTCTCTTATGGAGCCAATAATAAGTCCAATTATTACATTTAAATTATTTACAAGTGTTGTTTAATAAATCTGTATGTATATGCCTTTTAAAACAGTTTTTTTACTTGAATATTGGACACTATACTATATAAATGTATTCAAAATTAAATGACTATAACAAAGACATCTGAATCTTTTCACTGTATTCTATTTCTTAAGATTATTTTCTATTTTTAAAGAGACTATAAAAGTGTTTATTTTGTTTATTGGGTTTAATAAGTGAAGGAAATTATATATATTATCGATAATGTTCATGTCTGGTGACTGGGCTGCCCAATCCTGGAGCACCTTGATCATTGCTTTTAAGGAACTTTAAAGTGGAGGCTTAAGTATGAGGAGGAGCGCTATCCTGCTGAAGAATTTGCCCTCTCCAGTTGTTTGTATTGTAATGGGCAGCACAAATGTCTTGATAGTTCAGGCTGTTGGCATGTCATCCACTCTGCAGATCTCTCGCATGCCCCCATACTGAATGTAACCCCAAACCATGATTTTTCCTTTACCAAACTTGACTGATTTTTGTGAGAATCTTGGGTCCATGCAGATTCCAATATGTCTTCTGCAGTATTTGTGATGATTAGGAGCAGTTCAACAGATGAGTCCATCTGCCAATTTTCAAAATGATAAATTAATTAGGCTGGCTTGTGTAGCAAGCCAGACTATTGTTATCCTATTTTTCTTCTGAGACTAAAAATTAAACTATCTCCTCCTAGAGCTTTCAAGCTATGACCACCAAACTCACACCAGACCTCCAAACTGGTCTGACTCGGGTTGCTATATCTTTTCCGACTGATCCGACTTTTGGTTTTCCGAAAAACGTCCCGGGACCGTCTGAAAAATCCCATTGACTTAACATTGGACCAAACTTTGTGACCTCATAAGTCTGCATCAGACTGTCCTACAGGCTTCTAACTGGGCTCATTTAACTCAGACTATCTAACTACCAATAACGGATGAGCTTTTAACTTTCTGGCCACACCCTAGCAACCACCTTTGGGACCCTAGAAACTGTCCCATAGACTTCCACTGCAAAAGACTCTCATTGACTTTACATTGGGTCAAACTTTGTGAGCTCTTAACTCTACATCAGACTGTCGCACAGACTTCTAACTGGGCTCATTTAACTCAGACTACCAAACTACCAATAACTGATGAGCTTTTAACTTTCTAGCCACACCCCTAACAACCAGATATGGCACCCTAGCAACGGTCCCATAGACTGCCATTATAGAGGTTCAGATTGATATCGTCATGCTGCAGTGTGATAGAGACATGGGTGTTGCTTTAAACTGTTCATACTGGCAAGAAGCTTTGATACATCATCAGTCTAAGCTGTCAATCCACTCCATAGCAACAAAACAGACTAACCTAGCAACGATATAACAGCAGCTATATCTCAGTATCAGAACATCGTAGAGAAGCAGGGGTTGGCTTGTTTGACTAATACTAGCACACCATCCATCCATGCATCCATCCATCCATCCATCCCTCCATCATCTATCTATCTATCTATCTATCTATCTATCTATCTATCTATCTATCTATCTATCTATCTATCTATCTATCTATCTATCTATCTATCTATCTACCTATCTATCTATCTATCTATCTATCTATCTATCTATCTATCTATCTATATTTTCATACTTTTTAAAACTGTTTAAAGTAAATCAACTATTACCGTCAGGCTTTCACAAGCCAACCTCAAAGTTTGTTCTCAAACTTTAAGAATCTAGTTATTATTTGTTGCTCTTATAACTGAGATCGACGACTAGACTTTTGTCAAGTAATGTAGTTTCAGATACGTTTATGTAGTTTCATTTGTAGGTTATTCAGCACATCAAATTAATCAAATGAAAAATCAGAAACAAAGGAATAAGCATTTATTTATTTTTTTAGGAGTCTCTGAAAAAAAAATATTGAACACTAAAGAACTGCAGTAAAAGGTATTTTTAATAAATGATATTTGTTTTTTTTTATTGCAACTAATATTCTGAAAGCTAAATGTTTGCATCACTATTTCTATTAATCCCTCACAAAATGTTTAAAAAGGCTGAAGTAATTATAAGGAGCATGTTTCTGACTCTAAACTCTGATGAGTCACATTAATTTGTCACAATAGTGCTGAAATGTATGATGTTGCATAGCAACTGTATACTATGTAAATGTCATAACACACAGGACAATTTCCCATAATACAACGCCTGCGCTGAAAGATTTTCCTACTGTTTTGTATTATTTGCAGTATTTCAGTTAACATTTAGCCAAACATTTCAGTTTACAGAGCATCTGGAAAGTATTCATAGCGCTTCATTCTTTCCACATTTTATTTTTATGTTATAGCCATATTCCAAAATAGATTAAATTAATTTATTTCCTCAAAATTCTACACACAATTCCTCATAATGACAATGTTAGAAAATATTTTTTAAATTGTTGAAAATTCATTAAAGGGCCATGACACCCCCCCCCCCACACTTTCGGTTCAAGTCTACCTTTTTTTCAAAAGATGCTTGATAATGGGTGTGAAGCTCCGCGAACAAAGAGCAGGAGTGGGTGTGGGCAGCAGAGCAGAGGAGAAGGAGGGGAGCGAACAACTGTTGTCAGTTAGCTCACAAAATGAAACACAAACTGTGAGGAGATGCATGATTTTATAGTTTACAAAGTTAAAATGCAAAGAAGTAAACAGTAATTTGATATCCTGCTACATTTCTTATTTCATTATAAAGATAATCGTGTTCATATAAACACAATAAATGAGGACTTTTCCCTCAATCTCCGGGTCTAAATCATAGGTCTGAATGCAGACTCAGTGCAGCAGGTCTCTTGCCCTGTCTATTTTAACCATTAGCCCTGCTGTTAATCTGGAGGATTTAGGCGCACACAGCAGCACGGCAATGTGTCTAAATGTGAACGAACTACTGATAAAAGACAACGCTGTTTTGTTACGCTTTGCTGTATCAGCCCTGACAGCATCGCAGGGAAAAACATCCAACAAACTCAGTGGATTATGGAAACAAACACATACGACCCTTCATGAACAGCTAAACACTGTGTGCCATGGGTCCGTGAACGCGGTCGCACCCAATCAGCAAATCAAGATCTTACAGCTTGGCACAGGCAGGGCTGTCTTGCCTTCGGAAAGCACGCCCAGTCATGAATAAATAAGAAGCCGGTTCTTCTCATAGGATAAGAAAACTCCGCTATGAATAATAATAAGAAACGGACGTGTCATCTCTGCACTTGTAGTTCTGTGCTAAGTCGCCAATATTGATCCCGCCCCAAAAATAATTTAAATCCGGAAACTGAAATTAGCTGACAAAAGCTCCAAATTATGCAGTTTTTCCCACAATTAAAGCTAACAGGTGCTAACATTGTCTAACCTGATGCTCAACGCACACAATTTGGTTAAAATTTTTAAAAAGTGCTCCAGGGTTTCGTGAACCCTTAACATTGTCATTATGAGGTATTGTGTGCAGAATTTTGATGAAATAAATGGATTTAATCCATTGTGAAAGAAGACTGTGTAACATTAAAAATGTGGGAAAAGTGAAGCACTATGAATACTTTACGGATGCACTGTATATACACACCATAATAACAAAGTTTGTTTTTAATTCAGTGATCATGTCGGATGAGGCGGTGGAGAAGCGGAGGTTGCAGATCAGGAGGAAGAGGATGCAGGAAGAGCCTGTAACTCTCACTCCTCAACAGGAAGCTGTCATACAAGAGCTGCTCAACGCACACAAGAAAACCTTCGACATGACTTGTGCCCATTTCAGTCAGTTCCGGGTAACAAATTGAGTGCATTTTGTTTGTCTGCTGCAGTATTATTTCTTTGTGAAGTCAGTCTCTGAGCTTTACTGTATGTCCGCAGCCTTTAGATCGGGGTCAGAAGTCTGTGTCCGAGTCCATTCCAGTCACAAACGGCAGCTGGATCGATCACAGACCCATCGCTGAAGACCCAGTGCAGTGGGTCTTCAACTCCACTTCGCTCTCGTCCTCTTCCTCCAGCTGCCAGAGCCTTGACAAAGAGAAGAAGCACTTTAAAAGTGGCAGCTTCACCTCTCTGCCACACTTCACAGACCTCACCACGTACATGATCAAGAATGTCATCAACTTCGGGAAGACGCTGACAATGTTCAGGTGAATACTGCCACTCTTGTTTCATAGTGACCAGGTATCACATTTATCCCAGGATAATAAAAAGTGCTTAAAGTTTGTGAAATTAAAACACGTTTTTTTTACGACTTTCTTTGCCTGATCCGCTTCTTGTTAAAGGTGCAGTAGGTGATTGTCTCTAGAAGCATTTTTTGTTGTGCTGGTTGAAAGTCTCTTCACAGTCTAATAGTAATGATTAAAGTAAATGATCTAAATGTATTTATATGTATTTTTATATTTTGGGTAAGGCATAAAACTAAAAAATGTTCATCCAATTAAATAGAGTTGGACCGACATCTCTCATAATTCCGATAAGTAGCCCAATCTGTCTGTCAGCAAATGCAGATTTGAACTGCGACCGCCGTGCATTCACGAGAGAGAGCACGCACCCGATCGGTAAAAACATGCTGAATCAAAACTTTTTAAAAACCTGAAACCTGAATTTTCAGTTTCATAAGGGACCTTTTACAGCATCGATAATGTAGGTTTTAATTAGTTTAACAACAAAACACAAGTAAATACTCCTGTCTCTCCTTGTATTGTTTATCATGCTACTCTGATTATTCACTCTAAATTAGCATTTCAGTTTGGCTTGCACGCTGCCGGACAAGCACTAGTCGCTTTTAACACAAAAGAGAGAGCTTTTTTGCGGTGCTCGTGTTTAAGGAGGCGTGGCTCTAGACGACAGGGGAGGGACTGTGATTCAGAGATTTATGCTAAGCTGTTAGCATTGTGGAAAATCACCTACTGCACCTTTAAGATAGAAACCTGACTATAGTTTACTTAAAATACCATGGTTAAGCTATGGTCTGAACAGAATGGTTAATTTGGAGTTACCATGGTTTAATTAAAATAACCACTGTTTTTAATTTATTTGTTTACATGTGTATCTAATGTAGGTAGGTGGATGGATGGATGGATGGATGGATGGATGGATGGATGGATGGATGGATGGATGGATGGATGGATGGATGGATGGATGGATGGATCTGTCTGTCTCAATTAGCTGGATTTGGTTTGATTTGGTTATTGACACGATCCATGATCGTTTAGTAATTTCATATAAACAGGATTAGATTGGGTCAGTTCAAGCAAAGATAATACTGAAAGTTTTCTTAGGAGTCTTATTAATTTTCTTCATTAGTAGCCGATATTTAATTATCACCAATTAAATATCGGCTACTAATGAAGAAAATCCGCTCTAACTGTAAAACTAAATAGATTGTTAAATACTCTTGACAGATAAAAGTGTAAAGCCTGTACCCCACAACAAACTTGAAAAGTTATTGTGTATCATATTTAACAAACCGTTTCCTATGAATTTTATGTAATTCATGAATAATTGAATATTACTCAAATGATGTGCCGTCAGCCAATCTTTACATTGCTGATCATGATTTCGAGGATCGATAGAGCTGTCATTCACAACACACGCATCGATCTCAGATAAGTTCATCCAGACACTTTAATCTGATTAGCAAACTTGTTTGAAGATTGAATTAGCCAGAGATCAGTTATCAAAATTAACAGATCCAGGATCTGTCAAATCATCTTAGAACATTAAAGCAAGGTACAAAGAAAGTACCCCTGGTCACCCTCTTTAAACTGCTATAAATATTTTGAAACAGATGGTTTTATGGTCAGACAAGACCCTTTTTTGATCATTATTATACAGTTGCTACTTAACTCATAAGGATTAATGAAACTGTTGTGCTCTGGACAGGGCTCTGGTTATGGAGGACCAGATCTCGCTGCTGAAAGGTGCCACCTTTGAGATCATTCTGATTCACTTCAACATGTTCTTTAATGAAGTGACGGGAATTTGGGAGTGCGGCCCCCTGCAGTACTGCATGGATGATGCCTTTCGAGGTGAGGCTGTTCTATTAGTCTATTTAAAACCTTGGTTTTATGGTTTTGTTAGGAAACAAACCTTTGTGTTTAACAACTTAGCATTCATAATATTACAATTATTACTTTTGACTAGTTTTATAATGAATTGTAAAATGCACAGTAATTAAACCATATAATTAAATGTGAGACAATGTGACACTGAAGTAATGAAGCAGAAAAGCAAGCTTTATTATCACTAGAATAAATATTTCATGTATTTTCATGTTTACTCTAGACATTAAAATTATTCCAATTATTAGTATTGTTTTCCAGCATTTTCTGAGCTCAGTGTAATGGAGAGATTTTGCCAACACTTTTTAAACATAATAGTTTTAATAACTAGTTTCTAATAACTCATTTCTTTTGTCTTTGCCATTATTTTAGCATGTAATATTTTACTAGTAATTTTGCAAGGTAATTTTTAAAAAGTGCAAATTAAAGTGCCAATTAAAGGCTTAACAAGGTTCATTTGCTTAATTAGGCAAGTTAGTTTTATTAGACAAGTCAACGTACAACAGTGGTCTGTTCTGTAGCCACACATAAAATAATTATTAAAGGGCACCTATTTTAACCCTTTTTCAAGATTTATTATAAATTTGTTTTATCTTCAGAATGTGTCTGTAAAGTTTTATCTCAAAATATGCATCAAATTATTTATTATTCCTTTTTAAATCTGAGAAATTTGAGCTGTTATGGCATTGTATCTTTTTTTGGTGCCTGTGCCTTTAAAGCTGGTTCCGCGTGTGTGTCGAAGCTGTTATGCTGATTTATACTTTCGCCTGGTGCTGCGTCATGGGCCTCCTCTGACTGTGCCCACAACTTATGAAGCAGATGAGGCTTTAATACTTGACGCGCTCGCTGTTGTGATATTATTTAAAATGACAGGCGGTCAAAAAATCCCAACATAAAATCAGACAAATAAACAGAAGTTTCCAGAACATCATATCATTTATATCATTCAAATATTTTTAACTAATTATTTTTTATTATTTTTATAATTAATTTGAATGATTATAAAGATTTTTAACCATTCAATATTTTTTAAATAAAACGTTGATGCATCTTTTGCTTTTGTACAAGCTAGGGGACACGTCGGGTATAAACCAGGTTGTAGGCTTTACATAGATAAACAGCACATTGACAGACAAGAATGAACCATAGTTAAGCCGCCTTGCCACTGCACACAACATTTGGACACGACTCTCGGAATAAGCCCCCTTGTGGCAGTCTCACAGAGTTTTCAGTTCTGACGTGCTCCATAAAGGACAAGCTGTTCTCGAAGTGTCCGAAATAAAGGAGTGCAAAAGCCATTATTCGCATATTCTCAAAAGCCATTAAACTCATAGACCACTAAAATATCTGAGGAAATGTGGAGACAACCTAAAAAATTATATTTTTATAGGTTTAAAACTTACATTTATGAATAGAAACATTTTTTTTTTTTTTCTGATTCTAAAAATAACCAAAAAAACTACTATATTTCATCTCGTGCACACGGACCTGCTTGGACAACACAGGAATATATCACATCTGGTCAGCTAGTCGTAAACGGTCTACTCACAATTGGTCCGCAGCTCAATTCGGATCTGAATTGTCCACATACGGAGATGATCGGAACTCCACGTAGCTCCCCGATAACTCTCTATTGGAAATAAATGACTTCCGGTCTGTCGCTTGTCATTTGTCATGAAAGGAAGCTTAAGAACTTTAGCAATTTTTTTTGTTATAATTGTTGTGGAGTTAATTCAAGCCTTTCTGCAGCAATGAGTCACACACAACATCGTTATAAATTTTGCTTATGCTCATGCATGCGCACAAACACACACACACGTTTAGCGTTGCACTGTTTTTGCATGGCAAATGTGACAGGTACACATCAGTATCTACTGCTGTATAGATATTCATTAATGCAGTGGTCCCTAACTCCCGGGCCGCGGATCGGTACCGGTCCATGGATCTATAAGTACCGGGCCGCACAAGAATTAATTATCTTGTAGTTGGCAGATAAAGTAGCTGCATTTAAAGCCAAACTGAGGCATATTGGACATGTTTCAAACATTAGCGGGGATTTTGTGTGAGAGTGAGCCTGTGCTCTCACTCACCAAGCTGGTACATGATCATCAGTCTTCGCTGTTAAAGGAGTTTGAGCGCTACTTCCCAACCTCAAAGGACCCACAAACGGCTAGGGAATGGATATGTGACCTATTTGTCAACAAACCAGCTGAATCCAGCATGTCCGTGCAAGAAGAAGACCAACTGCTGGAGATCGTAAATGACGGCGGCCTTAAAACAATGTTCGAGACAACAACTCTGCCGGTGTTCTGGATTAAAGTAATGGCAGAATACCCAGAGATCGCTAACACAGCGCTGAAAACCCTGTTGCCATGTTGAGATATACATCATATGCGTGTTCTGGCGCTCACGGGCTGTTTCACGGGCACACGCAAAGCTTGAAGGTAAACAAACAATGGCTTAACATAAGCATCTTATCGATAATTATTTACACGGTTGGGATTAAGATGAACAAATAAACGTTATCTGCCTAATTTCTATCAGCTAAATGTGTCTGGAAAAATGTTCAAAGGCTTTTATTCTCATAAACCACGCGGACGTGAAGGCGTCTGACTGTTCTGATTGGCTAAAGCAGACGTCTCACGTCAGCACGTTCTAGATGTGCACGCGCTAAATAGCATAACAGAGAAATATTTTTAAAAGAATTAAAATTTCAAACTTTGAACATCTTTAACTGTATATAGGACTCCGTGTATATGAAATCTGTTTGGGATCGAAATATATTTCTAACCTGAATTCCACCAAAGCAAACACTAACTAAAACTAAAAGGAAAAAAAAAAATCTAATAACCAAGCTAATTATAAGCACTATAATTACAGTGCTTTTGGCTATAAATTCTCATTAGATGAGTTAAAAATAATTAGACACAATGATGTAATTAAAGGGATGATCCAGAATGTAATTTTAAGGCTTGGTTGTGGTAATAAGATGCAAAGCAATGTGTGCTCATGTTTCACTTGAAGGAAATTATATTATTTTTTCATAAATCACACTTTGATTATACACAGCTACTCAGCTAACATGAAAACGACTGTCATGTTTCCTAGTTTCTCTGAAAGGCCCACGCTCAAGTGACTCTTGTGTCATAATGTGCTGCTATTCGCGGATGAACTCCACGTCATGCCCGTACAAGCACATGCGTTTTGTGTAAACAGTCAATCAACCTCATGCTCGCTCTCTAACATAACATCTGACAATGTCATTTTAGGAGCAAAAGAGGGAGGGTCTGAAAAAAATTTGCATAAAAATGGGAGTGTCGGTTTGGGCACGAGCTGATTTTCACAGTTACAACACAAACACACACACACACACACACACACACACACACACGGGGGAGAAAGACAGTTACTGTGTTTACATGGACATCAGTAATCAAATTATTTGACAAATTATAAAATGGTGGACTTTAACTGCAGTTTGGCTCTTTTATTCAGGGAATTCATTCATGCCTCTCGTGACAAACTAGATATTTGATTCGAGGGACTGCTGTAAGCTTGCATTTTCCATGCAATGTTTGTCACCGCATGGCGAATGAGAGAAAAAAAAAAAAAAAAAGCTCTGCATTTCCCGGAAATTTAGATGCACTCGGCAGGTAGTGTCAGAAAGCCGTGTGTATTATTCCTGTCACAAAATGTGGCGAAAATCCTACACGACGGCAAGTTTGATTGTGGTGCTAACATGTTTACACTCAATGTAATAGTTAGTTTGATACGAAAGCAACACTGCACGCTTGTTTTGCCAACACAACGTGGCATCTCTCTGCCATCTAAACACTGTAACATTAATTAATATGAATGAAGCTGCACAATAGAGCGCACTGATTGGTTTGATCCACATCTTACTCATGCATTAATGCAGCACACTCAGAGACAAAATAAGGCACTCCCAGGTACAGACGTCCAGTCTACACGCTAAAATACACGCGGAGATCTCATGGCCGTCACGCAGCTTCAAAAATTCGTTTCAAACCGGAAGTACGAATTTGCTCGAAATAACGCAAAAACAACCAATTTTCACTTTTTAGTGAAATATAGGTGTCCTAATAGTGTTTTTAGCAGCGTAGGACACATATATGACTGTCAACAGCTCAAAAAATGTGTTTTGGTATTTCGTGACCCTTTAAGTATCTTTAGAATAGCTTTAGAAGAGTCAAAACCTTACATACAGCACCTATTCTTTTTTTCCTACTTGTTTTGTGTAACAGACCTCTGGGTTGTGTCATATGTTAGTGCTCAGTGGTTCTGGAGTCTTTTAATTAAGTGTAAAGGACAACTTTGTAATGCTTATTGGTACTTCATTGTTCATTCCACTCGATGAGCATTTCAAGTACAATACCTTGTTATGCTGAAGCTGAAGAAAGAAAGGTAACCATGAGCACAGAAAACCAGAGCACTTTCTCTGTTTCTGCCCCCTGCCACTGGCACAGATCTCCTGCTAAGAGGAGGAAGAGGAGAAACGAGAGGGAAAAACTAACCCCCTGTAGTACCAGGGAGGTGTGAGACACACAGCAGGGAAATATCTGAGGATAATGAGGGAGATGGCAGTGCTGTGGGGCAAAAAGTTGAACAGAACAGCCAAGCTTTCTTTAAATTGATGCTCTAAAGCCATTCAAGAAAGCAATTTCTGCTTTCCTTTTTTTAGTACATGCGTCAATCAGTGTGTTTCTGCTTGAGTCAGTAAAACTTTCATGGTCATATGTGACTTTATTTTGAAACGGAAGTCGCATTCCTCTTTTCGTACTTGGTTTGACGTACTGTATCTAAAGGTTATACAGCTTCTAAACAAATGTAGGGTTGGACTCACTGATCTGTAATAGCGAACTGGACTGCTCATGATGTCAAAGTGAATCCACCACGTCGCCATATTGGTGTTTCCTGCTATGCTTAAGCGTTCTGTTAAAGTAATAGGGTATTGTATAATTTTATTGAGAAAAGACTGCACAACAAGACACCCATTTGTATTTGAAACTTCCATGGGCCTATACAATGAAGCTGGATTAGAAACTAAGTTTCAGTTTAGTTTGCACTAATCTTCGGTTTTAGGCAGTGCTCAATTTGTGAGTTGCCAGGTCCCAGAACAGATCGGGGTAAAGGATCCAGCATGTTACCTGAGGATGGAAAGTTGTCGTGCACAAAAAAGGAGAGCGGGGGGTGGGTGGATTTCGTTGGGTGGCGGAGGGGTGTCGCGGATGAAGGATGAAAGTGAAGAGCGGGGATTTGTCGCCGTGGCGATACTGAAGATGGTTGGAGAGTCACGGAAGAAAGTGAAAGTGAACAGCGGACAGGGGAGGAGGGCGGTTGTGGGTCGGGGGTTGGTAAAATGAGGTGCCAAGATAAGCCCTGGTTTTAGGTAACAAAGCAAGCTTGCTTTTTTTGTTTGTTTGTTTGTTTGTTTGTTTGTTTTAATATTGAATGATTGTGAGAAAGTGTCTGGTGCAAATGTGCAAAACTTATACACGTGAAGGTTAAAGTGTCAGAGATTAAAGAGTGTGTTTTCTACTGGTAGTTTGTCAAACTCACTCACCTGGGAATTACATAATGAGGTTTGAGGTTTTTGTGTGGTGTGTTGGCAGGAGACATGAGGGTTTTGGGAGCTGGACTGTGCATAATATTTCAGAGTGGGGTAAAATGATTGGAGTTGAGGGCACTTACAGCTTGAGGAAAGAAGCTGTTGAGTCGTATAGCAGAGATGATTCTGATATTCTGGAACAATTTTCCTAAAAACAAGAGCTGGAGGAGACTTTAAAAGGGTTGAATGAAATCTTTTACAATATTGGGAGCTTTGCTGGAGCAAATGTCCTGAATGGAGGGAAGAGGGGCACTGACAATCTTCTAAGCTGTGTCGCTAGTGAATCAGTAGTAGTTCACTTTTGAATCAGTAGTCCATGTGGGAATGGGAAGGACATTCCATCAGTAAAGAACAATGAATGATTTTTTTTTTTTTTGTAAAGTGACTTTAAATCTCTCTGTAATGGTAACACAAGGCTCCACTCACTTACTGACCGGAAGCTCCTAGAGCGGATGTGGACCTTCAGGAGCAAGTGGGAGATAAGAGGGTACAATGGCAGGCAGATATAGAGAGGTGTGACATGGGCTCTCTTGGACTCATTAAAGACCTGTTGCAGCGTTTTGGATCATCTGTAGAGGTTTAAGGATGTATGAAGTACCCAGGCTTCTTCCCTTAGGCTTTGACGACAGCACTGGCTCACACTTCACACACAGACGTCTGCTTATCTTCCCTATTTCCCTCAGTATGCTGCTGATGACAAAGGACCCTGTCATCGCGCATGCATCCAGTCATTCTTTCCATATGTCCATCTCCCCTCAGGTTAACATTGATCATACATTTACACACACCTTTGTGTTCGTGTCTTTGTGTTTGTCTTTAGTCTATTGTCCAGGAAAAGTTGGTCTTCAGTTCTGGGCTGGCCAAACCGAGCAAGAGAATGGTGCAGGCTTATGACATTGCATAAAGCGTCATGGTGGCACCAAGCACTAAAGCTCCAACCTTACCAATCGTCTTTTGTGAAAGTTACAGCCAGCGTTGTGGAGGTACAATTATGGAGAGGGGCTTTAAACCTCTGAGTGTTGTTTGCTTGTAGATGTTAATGCAAGATATCATGAATAGCTGTGTGTTTATATTAAGATGAATGCCACATTTAAATGTTTATTGTTGTTGTTATAATGAAGATATCTACCTGAATACCTGCCGATGGTGAGCTCCAATAATATTGAGGCAGAGTCTGGCCATTAAGAAGATACGACAGACTCAGAGACAGCATCGGTTTACTTGGCTAGCGGAGGATGAAACGTGAAATTGACAGGCAAATTGGTGCATTGGCATCAGTAATGCAGTCGATGTACCTGTTCGTTGTGGTGAAGAAGGAGCAGAGACGAAAGGCAAAGCTCTTGATATACTATGTTCTTACTCTCACCTATGGTGGTCATGAGCTTTGGGTCATGACCGAAAGGACAAGATTTTGGATCCAAGTGACTAAAATGAGTTTTCCTATATTGTAAAGTGCAAATCTGCATGAGTTAGTAATGGTCTTTTTGAAGGACATCTGATCATCTAGGATCCTTACAAGATTCCTTACTTAATTACATGAGGTAATAGTACATGATCCCAGTTGGGTTGAGAGGGCACAGATTCTCATTTTCTGTCTGTGTTAGTAAATACTGTAATAAAACTACAGAAGAGTTGAGCTTTAAAATAGCAAAATTATCAAAACATTTAGATCACAGGTGTCAAACTCAATTCCAAAAGGGCTGCAGCTCTGCACAGTTTAGTTCCAACCCTAATTAAACACACCTGATCAAACTAATTGAGTCCTTCAGGCTTGTTTGAAACCTACAGGTAAGTGTGTTGGAGCAGGGTTGGAACTAAACTGTGCAGGGCTTCGGCCCTCCAGGAATTGAGTTTGACACCCCTGATTTAGGCCATTTTTGAATTTGATGCTAATAGTCGAATTTAATTTAATGATTTATGCTAAGATAAACTGAAATAGTTCTCACCAGGCCTGGAAAGCAATTATTCATTAAAGTTCCCCCAGCGTAGTCTATATCTCAGGAGTTGCCACAGCAGAATGAACCACCAACTATTCCAGCATATGTTTTGCACAGCGGATGCCCTTAAAATCGCAACACAGTACTGGAAAACACCCATACACACACACACACTATGGACAATTTAGTAAATTCAATTCACCTATAGCGCATATCTTTGGACTTTGGGGGAAAACGGAGCACCCAGAGGAAACCCACATGACACGGGGAGAACATGCAAACTGACCCAGCTGAGACTTGAACTAGCGACCTTCTTGCTTTGAGGCAACTTTGACCTGTTGGCTCAGTTAGCTCTAGGGGAGATTTTATTTTCAAGAAAAGTGTTTCTTTAAGCTTGTATGTAAAATCTCCAAAGCTTTCATAATCATGTTTTTTTTCTTACTGTAAAACCAATATGAATATTTCAGTAATGAATCGTGTGACATAGCCAAAGCTCATAGTAGCTCCAATCTCCATTGATTTTCTCTCTGATTTTCAGTGCAATTGAGTTTCCATAGTAGCATTGCACACTGCCTAATTGTTCTTCTTCTCTGCAGTCACTAACAGGCAACTAAAAGCCTGGAAACAGGCTCCTGCTCATTCTCTATGTTATTACCCTGATAACTCTATTCATAAAGCTGTCATTCAGAGCAGGCAGCTCTTCTTTTTAATTAAGACTGGCATTCATTCAGTCCAAACACATGTGAATGAATGACCCTGCCATAAGAACAGTCATCAAAACAATTTTCCATAAATGCAGAGGAATTGTTTGTGTATTTAACAGATTTGTGTAAATATCATGAGAAAAAAAAATGTTGTAGTGCAGATAGACTAAACCCTAAATTATTTGTATATGATTATTTCTAATATTGATTCCCATATTAATATTCATTCATTCATTTTCTTGTCAACTTAGTCCTTTTATTAATCCGGGGTTGCCACAGTGGAATGAACCGCCAACTTATCCAGCAAGTTTTTATGCAGCGAATGTCCTTAACGGTGAATACTTAAAACAGCTGGGTTTTAACTGGTTGATTAGCCTAGTTTAAGAGGGGTTTTGACCATTCCAGGCTGGTCTTAGCTGGTTAGGCTGGGAGATGACCAGCTAAAACCAGTTTGACCAGCCCAGTCACAACCAGCTATGTCCAGCTTAAACCAGGCTGTCCAAACTGGTTTTAGCGGGTTTGGGATGGTCATTTCCCAGCCTGACCAGGTAAGACCAGGCTGGAAATGGCCAAAGCTCCTCTAAAAACAACCTAGTCGACCAGCTAAGACCAGACAACCAGGTTACCTGGTTTAAGCTGTTTTTTTTGTTTTGTTTTTTTCAGCAGGGATGTGTGTGCAGGGTTTATATGTCTATAATAACCTCAGAGGATATTGGGGGTCATAAGTCACTGGCATTGTTATTTTGGGGTTCGCGAGCTTAAAAGTTTGGGAACCCCTGAACTAATGAAAATATTATAAACTGTGTGTGCTGAATACCTTTTTTGTAATATCGACTGTTGAAAGACATCAGCAAAATAATTATGTAGGCAAATTATAAGAAAATGTTGATCATTGTTTTATTGTCCTTCATGCATAAACAAGCATGTTAGGTTAATGAAAAAAAAAAAAAACAATGACATTCATGGTGTTATTCTTCTGTGCAGCACATATTCCTAAACATTAGACGAACATCCGCAGGTGTAGACATTCTGTCTGACAGAAAATGTGATTACTCTGACCTGAGCTAATATACTGAATCAACCTACTTGCATAATCTTTTTATTCATACATGCTGACATTAAAGTATCTGTTGCTGCTTGGAGTTGCAACAACACATTAACTGCTCATTAAAACTATCGCAAGGTTATATTTAGCGCACGCCTGCTAAGTCACTGGACAAATCGACACACACACACTCTCTGTCCACCCACAGCAATGTTCATGTAATATAATACAATATAACCATGCAACCATGTAAGTACTGCACTGTAAAAAAAAAATGCTGGGTTCCACACAAATAGTTCATGTTGTCCCAACACAAATTGATTAAGTTAATGAATCATTTTTACAAATTTAAGTTTCAGAAAAAATATAAGAATTGTGTTTCGACAAGTAGTTTAAAGAAGCAACGGTCAGTCTTTTAGGGTGTATTACAAATAGCTTTGTTTATTAAAAATAAAATTATCTGACCCATTTCAGTTTTTGGAGTCTCTTCTTATGTTCTGAAGAGTTGATTCAGATGTGTTTGAATAGGAAGAGGTTGAAAATGTGTACCATTGGTGTGCTTTCAGGAACAGGGTTGCACTATACATCCTGCATCACTCCTAACCAATTTTTATTTTTTTCCCCTTCATCCCTTTGCTGATGAACAGCTGGTTTTCAGCACCATCTGCTGGACCCAATGATGAATTTCCATTACACACTGCGTAAGCTGCGTTTGCATGAGGAGGAGTATGTGCTGATGCAGGCCCTCTCTCTCTTTTCACCAGGTACTTCAAGTAAAGCTGAACATCACACACTTGAACACACATACACGCAAGCTGTCACTTTAACTCTGATATGTGCTTTAATCCACAGATCGCCCTGGTGTGACAGACCACAAAGTGATCGACCGCAACCAGGAAACACTAGCGCTCACCCTAAAGACTTACATTGAGGCCAAGAGAAATGGGCCAGAAAAAAAGTAAGAGCACTTTTTCATGTTATTTCCCTTTTGACTTAGCCTATCGTCTGATTTATCTCACTTCATGCTCCATAGTGCTCTAAATTCACTGTTAGTTCTGGCTATTCATTCACACTTTACATTTCTAAACCATTGGTTAATGTTTTTATTTAGCTGTTCATTTCATTGGTTGGATGGACGACTTGAAAAAGGCTGTAAAAAAGAAATCACTGTGTCAACTTGTTATGCTAAAAAGTTGATTAATTAGTGTTTCCATTAAAAATTTAAGCTGTTAATCATAGTTTTAGGTGTGTTGGAAAAAATAAGGAACGATGGCATGATAATCCATGATAAGGACCCAAACTAGGAGACTCGACAAGCTGAATTTTTTATTTAGATGTGTTGGTTGTTCTGCAGTCAAACAGCATCTTCACAAGAAGTCCACAGCACACATGTCTAGCAAGTCTAGAGTCTAAAACAAGTTTTAAATGAGTGTAACTTGTAGAGGTGTGAACCTATAATGGTCTCATGGTTCGGTTACGATTATCATGCCATCGTTTCGGTTCAATTCAATATCTCGGTGCATCACGGTGCATTGACGGTGCTTTCCATACACTGTTATATTTTGGGGGGGAGGCACACAGCACCACACTGTCTCTCATTCACACACATACACAAACATGGACAGCACCAAACAAAGAAAAAAAAACGAAAAAAATAAGCACTTTTCCGATGGTCCCTTACTGAGAGCTCCGCTCAGCGAGAGCTCTCACAGCTAAATGCATATTGCGAGGGCTTAAACGGAGCAGTGGTCGTAATTTCGAGCGAAAAAAGAAAAAGACACCCATCGCGGTGCACCAAAGAAACAATCAATTTGACACCCCAACTAATTTGAGATATAGTCGTCCTGTCTATTAAATGTTTTAGGAGGGGCAGTGTCTAAAGGTGGAGACAAATCTAATCAAAGCATGCAAATGAAGTAGATAGGAGAAAGAACTTGTCCAGCCACTGACCACACAAGTTAATCAACAAAAGAGTTTCGTTGGCCTTAACGGATCCACAAAGACAAAGCCACATTCGTTGAGACCTTGCCCTTAGCATGCTTTGCTATTGGGGGTTGGGTTTTGGGGCTTGGTGTCGTAGGTGAGGTGTCTGAATAACACAGCTGAGAACTGTATAAGTAACTGTAATATGCACCAGGCCAGGCACCAGGCCACTTCAATCAGCATGTTGTGATTGGCAACCCGCGGGTGTTACAGACTGTACCAAAAATCTGAGGACCGGGTGGGGGGAGGGAAGCTAGTGGTGAAAATACAGAAGTTTTCCAGGAGAAATAACAAAACGCGAGGGTGGCAGAAGATGGGTCTGAAATAAAGGAGACTCCCGGCAAAAACGGGAGTGTTGGCAGGTATGTTATAAGGAGTTTTCTCATTACATGGTGTTTCGGTTTGGAAAGTCTCACTTTTGAGGGTTTTTCCACTGAATTCTGTAGTGTGTGGTTTTTATGATTAGTACCACCTCTGGAGAGGTGTATGGTTACCAAAATGTGACATATACACACTGCTGATCATCAATTGGCTCAAATGAAAATTAATGCTATAGGATTATTGGATTTGTGACACAAGACACCAAATTAAAGCATTTTGGTCAGTAAAAAAAAAAAAAAAAAAAAAAAAAAAAGTGCAGACGTTCCTCTCATTGGTTGCAGTTCCCAACCTAAATTGAAAAAGTTTTAGGAAGTCAGTAGAGATGGCACAACTATAGAGATAATTCCTTCAACCTTAACTAAACTGCAGTGGAAATGCAAAGCTGAGCAAAACTGAATCAAAGTGAGCTTAATCATATCATAGCTGTCAGTGGCAAATTAACTATAGTGCACTATCAAATTATATTGTATAAATTTTATAGATTAAGCAAATATTTTCTTACACCCTGTGATGATTTGTGTGAATTATAGGAGAATAACTTTTAGTTAACTGTCAACCATGAGTTAATAGTAAAAAAAAAAGTGGTTCATGAGGCATTATTATTCTCCTCACACACTTCGTTATTATTGTTCATTTATTCGTTTGCTGGAAATTAGAACTGAATTCAGAAATAGTTTTAAAACGAATTTTTGCGCTTAACAAACGCAATTAATTATTTATAGACTAATTGATGTCTGTGCGTAAAGGTTTCCCTATCCAAGAGCGAAAGTAGATCCATTATCTCTCATTCTCACGCAGTAGATGCTCTGTTTAACAGTTTTCTGTAAAAAAAAATTCTGTTAACTGTTAACTGTTTGCTAGTGAAATGCTCAGTTTTTCCACTCACACTTACTTTACGTCATGTAAATAGCGAATGCGCTTATGGCGCGACGCAGCTGGCTCTTAAAGGCAATGGGAGATGAGATTCTGATTGAACTCATTAAGAAAATAAACTCAACCCTTTTAGACCATGCGCCATGGCGCAAAGCGGATTTTCCCGTCCTTAAATTAGCAAAAATGCTTTCTGACACGCCCTGAAAGCATTTGCGCCCTGCGTTTTGCGCTCTGCGCATGGACTGTAAAAATAGAGCCCAGAATGTTTTCTCAAACTGCTGCTGAAAAGGAGGAAGGAGGGTGAAAGTATGCCACTGGCCTACATTTAGTGCATGGACTAGTACCTGTAAAGGTGGCCTAGTTGCGATGGTCCCATCGTATTTTGCGTACTGTATGTCATTTTGAACTCTTCTGCTAAAGTATAAAGCCAGTATGTGTTTGCAGAGATTTAGGAAATAATGCTAACCTCACATCTCTGAAAAATAATCTTACAGACTGTCTGTCTGAAAATGTGCACAAAGTTTCAGTATGTTTGTTTTGGTTTTGGATCTCTTACCCCACTGCCAATTTATCCCATCAGATTTTCACCGTCAGGGTTCCAGTTGAAAGTAAAGCTTAATTTACCCTTCGACATTGAGAGATCACACGACACCTCATCTGCAAGTAGCTGAATGCCTTTGTGTGAATATATATTTATGCATTATGTCTTTGTTGCTCTGGCAATAACACTTCCAAAACACTAGTATGCAGCGAGGTTTCTGTTCCATTGTGTTAAATTCCTTTGTGGGTGTATTAAGTTAATGCCTGAAATGCGATTGATTCTACTGTAACAGTTGTTAAAACCAGGGGTGTTGCCAGGTCAGTGTCCCAATAAATGCTTTGAGTTACAATTGACAATATATGTAAGTGTATTACTTAAGGGTAATCCCAGAATAAAGAGGTTATTCACTATGTACAAGTGAATCAACACTTGCAAAAGCAATGCAGTTATTCGAAAACAAACTGACGGATACGTGCAGAAAACCATGCACACACTACACAGGCCGTTCCTGCTTGACACACTGCTCTTCCTCCCAGTGTGAATCCCAGTTGTTAGCTTGCACGCTGAAAATAAGCATTGTGATACATTGTGTCATACATTGTGAAATTGGCGTAAGAGCCTTTAATGAAGAGATATCAGCACGCAGTTAGTTTTGCAAGTTAACAAAACTAAAGTTTATATAATATCGTGATGATTTTATTTTGACTTAACATAGCTTCTGTAAGGCAGATTTTTTATTATCTTTTTTTTTTTTTTTTTTTTTTTTTTTTTTTTTTGCATTGACCTCATTCTTTAATGTGTTTTTGCTGCATTGTTTTAGAGACAATGACTGGTAAAAATGTTAGAATGGAGGAAATGACTAGAAATAATAAATGGCAGAAAATGGTCAAATTGCTTGCTCTATAAGCAAGTGTGTGCATGACTACACTGACAAAGTAGAATAATAAGGAAATATCAGTTTGCAACATCAAGCAGCATAACAAGCTGTTTTTAATGTCCAGAAATTAATAGAAGTGAATGAGACTAGAGGTCTCAAGCCAAAAAGATTCAAATTGCTGTGCCTGCTCATAAGGCAAAAATAAGGTCAATAAAGCAGACAAGAGAGATGAGTGAGAGAGAGTCAGGGAGGTTAGACTTAATAAACTTAATTCTCTTAGTCAGGTCTCAGAAAACAGATAATTCCATACATTTTATGTTAAGCTCTCTAGAGTTGTCAAATTAAATTAATATTTATGCAAATGATTTCTTAGAAGATTATTGCGATTATTGTTAGCATTATTTATTTTTAATATATAATTTATTTATTCACTTTCCTTTGACTTGGTCTCTTTGTTCATCAGGGGTCGCCACAGCTGATGCCCTTCCATCTGCAACTGGGAAATCTGGTATTTATCTAGAATAATAATTGTATACTAAAATATGTTAATGATAAAAATAAAAATAATATTACCTTTATTTATATTATTCATTATAGATATTTATATAAGAATGATGTTTGAGGGGGACGTGCCCCAGTAGAGTTTTATGTCTAGCAACACCCCTGGTTCAAACATTCATGGAAGAAAGAGACAGGAACCAGCAACTGTTCAACAGCTTTGATTAAATAATAAACACAGAACAAAAGTACATATCCAGAGTTTCTCTGCTGGACACTAGACTTTATAAACACTCCCACCACTGGGCTCACTCGCCTCTCATGGTCTCGTTTACACTCCTCAAAGCTTCACTAAAGCAGCCAATCACACACTTTGCACATTGTGCTGTTGTTATGTAGTTGTTATGTAGCATGTCTGGGCATGGGGAAGGGTATACAACTGTGCGAAGGCTATGCTGCACCTACAGCATGCACTCGACCCAGAAGTATACAGTAAATTGGCTTTAAGTCATGGATGGATCAAATATGAAGGAACCCATTAGTGTTGGGTCAAAAGACGATGCCATCGTTCATCGCCCATGGCCGATATACATCACGACACTGAGCCGGCAAAAATACACACTGCCCCGTTTGCACTAATACGTCTTAGTTTTAAAATGGCATTTTAGAATGAAAGGGATCCATGTCCACACTGACGTTTCACCTACTGTAGCATTTTTTGAAAAGCCCTCCTTCCACACTATACCGCTGAAAACGCACATCACATGACCATGTGCACACAGACACACACTTACTCTCATGCGCTCGTCTGAGTTCCAGGCAGTTGAGCCCAGAGGAGCAGTGCACTTTGGACAGTCAATCAAGGATGTAACACTGAATCGCGTCTCACTATAGTTGTCAAATGTGATATTTAATTACTCTTATCACTATCTAACGACTCTTCAGTCTTTTAAATCTATCAGGTAATGTATTAGCATCATACACTGCTTCAATCTTTCGCTTTCAAGCTTGCACTTAGTAATTTTAGCAAAAATCCTCAGATACTGTTGGTTGTGTGCCTATTTATAAAGTTTGTCAACACCCTTATAATGGCACAGATCACTCTGCCTATTCATGCCAGAGTCCGAAGAAGTGATTGACGGGTGGTAATTTACGTGTGACTTATCTTTATTTATTTATGATTTGATTATGGGTAAAACAAAGACTGTGAGGGTCAAGTAGTTGAAACAGTAGGCTACAAATAATTAAGTCAATATGGCTTAATTTATTATTCATAAATAATATTCATATTATTTAATTATAATATTTTACATTTAACATATTCAACAATTTAACAATATTATTCATAAATAATTAATTCACCACCGCCTATGACGACGATGCCATCGTCCATCACTATGTTTCACATTGGACATCGTACAATGCCAAATTGGTCAACATCAACCCTTCTGTATTTTAACACAAATTATTATTTTCTGGGCTAATCTGACCGGCTGCCTAATCTAAAGCATTACCTGTCCCTAACTTTTGCACTCTCTGATTGGTTATTTACTCATGAGGAGTGGTGTACTCATCTCAGCTCATCGACATTCAAGCACACAGTGACAGTTCGGAGATTAATAAAAGGCATGGGGCAAATGCAAATGTTGTACTGTTGTCAGTTGTGTTAATTCTTGTTGGCGTCATTAACCAGTTTGCATTGGTTTTAACTGCAGTGCTCAGTTTAGTAGTAGCAGTCAATAATCTATACCTATCTATATAATATACACCCTTAAAATAGTTTAAATCACTTATGCATTTAATGTTTGTATCACAGAACTCCAACATTTCTCACCAGATCTCATTGCACTCTTTAATAACGTTTTTTTTTTGTGCTGAGTTGATACTGTAAATCTTCTTTGCAGCTTGTGATTTAAGCAAGTACTGCTTTTCCATTCCACTTTACCATTGTCATACTCAACAGAAACTGATTGCAATTTCATTTGAATCTTTTCTCCCTCTTAGTCTGCTGTTCCCAAAGATCATGGGGTGCCTGACCGAGATGAGGAGCATGAACGAAGAGTACACCAAACAAGTGCTGAAAATCCAGGACATGCAGCCTGAAGTGTCTCCACTTTGGTTGGAAATAATAAGCAAAGACACCTAAGTCCTCACAAAGCACGTGCAACTCTACTTATTCCCAACTACAACACTATTGCTGACCTTCATCCGAGGACATTCAAAACCGAAAGACTAGCAATGGCAGGGACTGTACCTGCTGAAAATGAACTGCTGAACAGCGCACACTGTGTGGACAAATAGTTTTATATTGGAGTTACTTAGTGTAATTGTGTTTGAGGATGTCCCACTGCCAATCGTTTTCATCGTTTCACAAAAGAACATTTTCTATGGTTCGTAACCACATATGATCTCTTATGTTAACTTCTTGAATGGAGCTTGACGTTTGGGGTTTAACTAAGCTTGGATTGGAAATGTACCACTTTTTCATGGTAACACTTTACGATGAGGTTCTGTTTGTAAAAATCAGCTAACATTGCTACACTGTAAAACTGAATAAGTTAAGGTAGCTCAAACCATGCAACAAACCATTTACATTCAAAAACTAATCCTAATGAGTACAGTGAACTTAATCCATTTGAGTAAACAAAGCAATTTGAGCACAGTGAGGCCCAATAAATGAAGAGAACTCAAACCTACTGAGTACTGTAATACCCAAGAAGTTAAGGCAACTCAAAATGTTTAAGGAAACCATTTAAGTTAAACTAATCTATACGAGCACTGTGAACTTCCTCCATTAACGTTGAAGTAATGAGGTATTTGAATTACTCATTACCTTTAACACAAGAGTTATAAACTCTTTTCAAATGAGTAGAATTAACTTTCAGTAAGTTTTGAGTTAACTACACTCATTTCATTTGATGAAGAGGACTGTTGGGTTCTACAGTGTAACAGTAGGTAGGGTATTGTGGCCAGATCAGGTCTGGGCCAGACAGAATTTGCTCATATGTCTTGCTATATCTGGGGGGAATAAGCTATTTATGCAGAATTTGAGATTATATTAACTAAAAACTTAAGGCATAAAATAAAAAATAGTACATTTTTAACAATAACCCTTTCCACAAACCCACTAATTCTTTGGAAAGCGGGCATGTGTGAACAGACCCTTAAAGTAGCAGTAAAGTTGTTCCAGAAATGTATTGCTACTACTGTGATTGGGGCTTTTTATTCAAGGTTTGCCATGCAAATTCAATCAGAAGCACTTGTTTGTTAAAGTAATGTCTCATAAAATCTACTGAAAGAAAGAAAAGATTCCTTTATAAACTCTATTGTACATAACTCATTTGAACATTTGCAAAGTATTCGTTAATATTACTGTAATATATATTTGCTACCAAGGTTAACAGATTAAAATACACTGTAACAAAGGCGCTGTTCATTGTTAGGTAAATACATTAATTGATCCTAATTAATACACTCATTGACATTTGTTGTTTGTTCAAACTACTTATTTTTAGTGAGCTGAAACAGCAAAATTCTTGAGTTTTTTGGGGGGGCAACTTAATTGTTTTAAGTTCAGCTCACTGAAATTAGTAAATATTATTAATAATAATAATAATTCTAATAATAATAAATAACTTAATTCCTTCATGTTGTCCTAACACATATCGATTGTGTGGAACACAGCATTTTTTACTGGGCAGGACCGTAAAGTGTTACCGCCTAATCTTTGCAGGGTATATAGAGGAGATGCCATACGAAATTGTAATTCTGGCAGTATAAGCTGACAATATGCATACTTGTCATTTGTGTTAATGGTCTGTCTTGATAAAGCTGTTTATTTATTATAATTTTTATGCCAAATAGTGGTGTTAACTCTGGCTCTGATATGTTGAGATTATGTTAAAAACATACAGTATATACGCAATATATATATATATATATATATATATATATATATATATATATATATATATATATATATATATAGATAGATAGATAGTGCCAGTGTCATACGTTAATAGCTTTATTTGATTCAAACATGTTCTTGCCAAGAATGTAATGCCGAGTTCAGACTGCATGATTTTCAAAGAAGTAGTGTCACAGCTGTTTTCACACTGCATGACTATCTGGGCTAGCGTTTTTTCGCTGCTTTGTGTACACTGCAAGATGGATCGGCTGCAGGGACTTTCACATTGCATGACTTTACTATAGGAAGAATCATCGACAACTTCGTCCAAACTACGTCTCACAGCCAAAAACACGTCGTATATCTTTTGTTATTAACTACATAATGAGAAAGAATCCTTTAATGGGGTAGAACATGTACATATGTGCTCACCCGGGTTTAAAGGGAATTAGCCATTTCTCCTCAACGTTAATAATAAACTAATTTCTTTCTGTATGAAACGTCAAACAGACACAGTTGCTCCTGAGTCCTATTAAACCTCCACTAGTTTTTCCTCCATTTCCTCCATCCTCCATACACACACACACACACACACACACACACACACACACAAATGAATGCTGCTCTCTCATTGGCTGTAGGCGATCGCTGATGTTATTTTCAGTCAAAACTCAATTCACACGGCATGATTTGAATCGCCGACAGCTCCAGATATTTAGCATGCCAAATATCTTGCAGGCATCGGCGACTCATCGGCAATTCTCTCAGATCCACCTTTGATAGTTCACACTGTGTGATTGTCACTCACGTGCATGAGCACTGATTTGCCTGTGATTTCAGGCATTTGTCGGCGATTTCTCAAAACCTGTCGGCGAGCCAAAATCGGGGCTAAAATCACGCAGTCTGAACTAGGCATAAATGAACTTGGGATGTTATAAATCTCATGCAGAACATGTTCTGCTTGTATTTTACTCTCCTTAATAGAAGAAATTAATATTTTTTATGTCCATTATGATTTTTTATGCATTGTGACATTTATATCAGATTTATATTTCATTACAGCAACGAGACCTCAACTTGTTCCCGTCAGGTTTTAGGAGATTCGCTCTATGGTGTGTGTGGCTGGATATCCAGTTATTTCATGTCTATTGTGATTGCCTTTTATTAGAAACCGAGCTAACTATTTTGAATGTCTACAACTCTGATGAATCTCTGATCCTGTTAGAGGTTGTAAGAGTTTATCACATTGACATGCTTGAGAAATTATAGCCTTTCTAAATGCCTCATTCAGCAGTGAACTTAACCTACTTCAGCAAGCACAATGAGGACTTTACTGAAAAGATGTCAAAGTAGCATTTTAAGGTTATATCGTAGTGTCTTGGTATGAGTTGATGATAAAAATCATTGTGGTGTCGTGAATGTTAAAGTGCAGATCTGATGTTCAAGGGTATTTGATGTCAGGTATGTTTGTAAAGCACAATCTCTTTCGCAATGCCTTCATGCTGACTTTCTGTGTAGATTTAGCAGATATTTCATCTTGCGCACACAACGATGAGGAAAATTGTCACTACATGTATAATTACTACACAATACACTCAGGTTTTCTGTCTTTACACTGGCTATTTTAAAAATGAGTTATATGTAAATAAAGTGTATATGATCCTCTCAGGAAAATAAAATTTTAATTGTACAAAAATGTGTGCAGAATAGTTTGCGGAACAGTTTTATTTATGAAAGTATATACAATTCACCAGATTTTACAGTGATGAAACAAATTATTGCAATAAACAATAACATAATTACAGAATTACAAAAGAACAGGGGTCAATAAGAATTGTTTTTGTTTAAAATATGTTGTGTTCACAAAAGCTGAAGTCATTTGATCTAAAGTTTTATGCTGCCATAGTCATATCTCTCTGTAATGTAATGTATTTTTTATTTAATGCCTTGTCAGCAGCCAAGGCTATTTTCGTAGCAAGAACATTTCAATAATAAATATACAATTAAAAACAACAAACAGATGAATACATACATTAAATAAGATTTTTAGAGTTAATATACTAATTAACTTTTTTTTCCTGGTGTCGCTTTGTTAAAAATGTCCATAAGAGAGTTCATTTCGTTAAAAAAGCCTTCTCGATTCATTAAACGCAGGAAAGTTCAGTAAAATGTGTTTTCAAAACTCAGGGCTTCTGGTAGTACCTAGAATAGCAAAGTCGAGTAAAGGAGGTCGAGGTTTCTCATTTATGGCTCCTAAACTCTGGAATAGCCTTCTAGTTAATGTCCAAGGCTCAGACACACTCTCCCAATTCAAAACTTGATTAAAGACCTATCTGTTTAGTAAAGCATACAGTCAGTGCATCAATTGGGTTTCCACACAGGTTTCTGCATCTTGTTTATATACACTATGAACAGCAGCTACGCTAATTATTCTCTTTATTTCTCCATTTCCATCTGGGGATATTCTTCCTGAGGACCTTGGACTATGCAGAGTCAATAATTCGATCCATGACCAGCGACGAGATGATCCCAAGGTTTCCATATCCTGGACCAGGCCGTATCCTGAGCAGCTGCTGTGGTGGTCATGGAGTAGTGGAGAGCATGAGACTGATTCCACTGATGCTCCAGGGACAGACGAGTCTTCGCTGAGGCCAGCTTCCAGCCTTCGCCGCTGAGACTGCAGCTCTGCACAAGACGTTTGGCCGGCGGAGAAATTAAAATGGTCGTGCCCAACTGAGTCTGGTTTCTCTCAAGTTTTTTTTTTTCTTCACTTTCGCCAATCGGTAAAGTTTTTTTTCTCTCTCCGCTGTCGCCTCTAGCTTGCACGGTTTGGGATCGGTAAACCACACTGAACTGAGCTAAACTGAACTGAACTGAACTACACTGTTCCAATTTACTATAACCATTTATGTGAAGCTTCTTTGACACAATCTACATTGTAAAAGCGCTATACAAATAAAGGTGAATTGAATTGAAATGTTTTACAGTAAGAGAAGTTGTGCACTACAAACATTTAGCGGGGTCTTCATCTTTAACCAAAAAGGCATGGGTATATTTGTTGGTGAAAGTTGCAGGCAGCAATTACATTATTTAACAAAAGGTGTTGACAACAGCCATTAACAGTATGCCGCTGAATAATTCTTGCAAGGAAACATGAAGTTTTATGAGAGAATAACTGAATCATAAAAATAAATAAATAAACATGAAATGAGACTAAAATAAATATGGGTTGTACAAATTATAAATGTAAGATTTCTACATTTAGCATTCTCAGGAACAGTAGTAATAATAACAGTGAATTTTTACAGTACTGAATACTTTACTATTTATTTTTAATCAGCTGATTACTTCTTAATTTTATTTTAATAAAATAACAGGTTCTAAGTTCAGTTTTTTAAAACTAAAGGTGTCTTGCAGTACTCTTTCTGTAATAAATAGAAAGCAAATTACATTTGTCTCCTTCCTTTTTTGACTGATCTGAAAAATGGTCCGATCCGTGACTAAAAAACATAATGTGATCCGAACCGTGAGATTTGATCATTACACCACTATTTTATAATCATTAAAATGTAAATGTTTCCAGTTTGATCTCAAAATGAAACACCTTTTTTAATGTATTGTAAGAAAGAATTCATAAGATTTAATTTGGACAAAAACTCACAATTTAAAGAGGCATGCCCACCCTTAAACCTATACTTCATTGGGGGATGAGCAAACTGTAAATTGTAAGAAAGAGATGATACAAATTAATACAAATTAGCCACTAAATCAAAAAGTTACAAATTGATGTGAGATAGTTTTTTCCCACTATATAAAATGTATGTCATTTATTTTGTTGTGAAACATCTGAACCTGGAGTTGTTCTCATCAGATTTTGTGAGATTTTCTATCAGAAGAATTGTGCTAGCTAATCATTTTTGGGTCTGTTGTGAATGCTTTTAATTAGAAAATGTATTTCCAACATTGGAAATGTCAAAAAAATTGAAGACTAGATTGAGTAGTAAGATTGAGAAGCAGTTAAATGCTTCATTTGGCAGGGAACTTAACGGTTTTCACTCAAGGATTTTAATGAATAGACATTAGTTTCTTTCATTGTGTCATCCTTAAAAAAGTGAATAATGACAATCAATGTGAAGATTATGCAGATGAGATGTTT